TTTTTCTCTTAGGCATGGGCTCGAGCTGCGTATATACACAATGAGACACGCCACACGCTATATAGCCTGCGCAGTTTTGCATATGTCCGACATAGACATACATGTAGGACGCGTGCAGCAGCTCGCAGCTCGCAGCTTAGGAAATTCATTGTGCATTAAAACGGCTCGGGGTCGTCTCCGATATCCACTTTGCAGATTTAAACTCGTATATATATATTTGCCACGAGGAGACGAGAGCTGTTTTCGTTTTGGATTTTGTCGATATACGTGCCCATTGTCCGGGCGTCGAAAGTACATCGTCGAGTTTTATCGAGTCTTAGCCAAGTACGCGATTCGCGTCGATCCTCTCTCTCTCATCTCATTCTATCAGCTGCGTACGTACGCATACTTGAAACGTGCATCGAGTCTCGTGCGCGAGCCACACACGTTAACGAGCAAATAAATAAATTGTCGAAACAATAGAGGCGCGCGCAATGGAAGAAACAATCGGCAGGCGGGGGCGCGCACATCAAGTACACGTAGTAGTCGTGCAAGGGCGCAGGCAAGGGGCGCTGCATCATATACTGTACGCGCGCGTTTTATTAATTCACCGGGCCAGCTGTGCCCGAGCACCAGTGGACGCGGCCTATCCGCAGCCTACGGAACGTCGTGGATCGAGAAAAAAGGAGTCAATTTTTTGTGTTACAGTCGGCGAGCTGCGTGACATGTGCACCGCTCGTTTATCTATATCGAGAAAACATTTTTCTCCAACTCGTAGCGATCGTAGCCACATCGTCTATGCGGTTAAACGAGTTATCGACTCGAGAGTCACGAGGATACTTTGAATTTCGGAGCCCGCATGGCTCTCGGGCGGTTGATCATTTGGCCGTCGTCGAGTGCTCCGACAGTCAACAGTGACTGTTGCTCTTGGCCCAAGAGTCTGTATTTATTGTATAATAGAGATGAGTCCTCATCGACTGGCAGCCCATCTTATATCCTCCCTTGGGCTCGGAGCTACCGTATGCGTCGATATATTATGCTCTACATGTATATCGTCTCGTTGTCGCTCCTCGACACCTTATAAGTGCGCACTGCACGCGCTATTGCATTCAGCCGAGGCGGTCAACTGTGAAACGCAGTTAGCTCGTTGCCGTACACACACACACATACGCGCGTGTTCATAGGCAATCGCAACGGGATACGCGCAGTCACACAGACATGCATCGTTTCCCCTCTCGGCTATAGGCTACATATACACCGACACGACTCCTTTTTTCGCTCTGTCTCTCGCTTCGTTGGATCTCGCTGCGTATAACTATAAACGAGCGACTTTTTCTCTCTCTCTCGATATGCGTGTGTACCTTTTTTCAATTTCGTCGCCAGCCAATGTCAATATGTTCCCGACGTTGAGCGACGTTTCATATCGACACATCCTCCCGTTTGCTTCGATATCGACTTTATACATCACCGACTAGCAATAAACTTTTGTGAAATATAAATTAATGAAAACCTGCCGACAGAATCCCATTCTCTCCTTGCAGTACGATGAATACTTACCGATGTATAATGTTTCGCATTTATTCGCCTCGTGCGGAAGAATAAAAAAATTACCATGCTGAAACCTCGAAAATCGATTAGGTCGTCTTGGTCGTTGCGCTCGCTCGTCTTGGCGCATATAAAGCAAAGAGAAAAAAAAACAGAAGAAAAAAAAAGAGCAAAACAAAACGAAAATAGCATCGCTGCCCCGCATGCGGTTAAGAGGATTGCTCATTCGTACGAGTGGACCCGACGAAGCGTGAATCTCTCAGCGATCCGCGCGCGCACTCGCACAAAGCCGACGTGTATCTCGACGCCCAATTGTAGGCACACATCCTATATACCTCTGCTCGTGTGCTCGGGCTCGACTCTGCTGCTGCCCGCATTTTCCTATGCTCTAAATTTCCGACTTGCTTTTTAGCATACGTAATACAATATAACGGATTTGAAAAACCGCAAAATCTATTGTCCGCCTGCGTCGAAGCAAAAAATATGTTTACATCGCGAGAGAGCGGCTACGGCAAAAATCATCGGAGCTTGTACGTGTGTAGAGCGGCGCAACGATAAGTGCAGCCGCGAGATCGACGGGCAGAAAAACGAAAAACCACATCCGCATCGTACGCATACATATATGTATAGGCAAGGAAAACCACACACGCAGAGGGACTATTCGCGTACTCGTTCCGCCGCGCCCTAGGCTATACATATACGACAAAACGAAATATCGCCGTTCGTTGATCCGTTTGATATAGTCACAATTTTTCGGTATATCGCGTCGAATCCGAGTCAAAGCATCCAACTGCGTGCGCGCACGAGAAGCCAAAGCTCATTACTCGGGGTAAGCCGTCGTTTTTTCGCCTCGTTCGTTCGTGCATGTTTTTTTTTTTTTTTATTCTTTTATTTGTTTTTTTTTCTCATTTCTCTGCGGATACCCTCGCTGCGGCGGGAGGTTACAAAGTGTAATAGAAGGGATCTCCGATAATGGGCCGCTGTAGTTCGCAGAGGGCGAGCTTGTGCGCGCGTATAATTGATATATACGAAATGAGATGGTGCTATATCGTTTCTCGGAAGGATCGCGAGGCGAACTTTTTAGAAAATGTCCAAGGTCGCCGTCGATTAGATTTGGCGAATTTTCCCTCCGAGTGCAGTTCGAATAGCTTGGCTTACTCGATGTAGCGCACAGAAGCGAGCTGCAGACGTTGGAACTCGACGCGTCTCCTGGGATAATTTGTCACGACAGCCTGGGCGAGACGCGTACATAAACACAAAACGGAAGTCGCTCATCGAAAATAAATCGGAAATAAATTGACGCCACTCGAAGAGCCAAGCCGAGTTCTGGAGTTTATGATTGCGTACGCATACGAGTCGCGTGCGCCGCCGCGCGTCTTACGTTACGCTACATAATACACGTACGCACATCGGTCAGTGTGAGAAAGAAGCAAATTATTTGTCTATTTAAATTTCGCGTAATCGCGCGGTTTTGGCGCAATCAATTTCTCACGCATTTAAAAGGACAAATTGATATGAAAAGCGGCCGCAGTAGCAGCAGCAGCAACAGCGGCAGCAGCAGAAGATAGTAGCAGGCAGGAAACTCGCACAAGACCCGACGTCGTGGTCGCGTCGCGGTCGTCGTCGTAGTCTAGTTTTTCGCTTATCGCACGTAAAATAATTATTATATTTGACCGTATTTATTTTATTGTAACGGAAGGTCGAGGCTGCGTACACAGTACGTATATACAGTTGGTGCTCTCGCGTGGGAACTCGACGATCGGCCTTTCCCTTTTCTTTGCTCGCTCGTCGATCGATGGATATAATGCACCTTTTTCACTTGGACTCGATCGACGCCGCGCAGACATTTAGGGCTTCTTATAAGAATTCCGCCGTTGTGTGCATCGGCTTGTATCGACTTACAAACGACGCGCCCGGGCCGATCGAGTAACGTAATTACATTGGCCGCGTGCAGCCGCTTCTTCGTCTCGTCTCTACAAAGCAAAAGAAATGTAGCGATCCATGTAGCACGTTAAAAAGCCAAAGAGTAGCTGCGAGAAAGATTAATCGAATTACTAAGCGATGAAAGTAATTTCTCTGAAAAAAGCCCCGAAACAAAACATCCGGCGCTAAGCGTTATAGCTTGTATTATATTATGTATAGGGACGTCGTCGCGCGCGGGGGGCGCCTGCACGTATACATGTTACGACAGCTAATGATAATATACTTAATGCGTCGCTGAAGATGTTTCGAGTGCCGAAAAGTTTGATAGCTGCTCCGGCGCGTGCGCCAGCTCCGTAAGCGGAAATGTTTGCCCACGCGACTGTTCGTTCTTTTTAATTTTCCAATACTACTTCGTATCGACCCTCGGGCTCCCTTCACTTGGAATATTCATTTTTTTCTTCGACACATGTACGCAGCGCATCGAGTTTGAGTCTAAACTTTTTACGATTCATTAATCACACGCGCGTTACGCTTGTATTGGTTAGCCTGCTCCTCGTTCATACTGTATAATACACATGGTGTAATTGTGTCGCGCCTACACAAAGCCTCGCAAGATGACCAGCCGATAGACGGGATAAAGAAATGTACATTTCTAAAAAAGAGAGAGAGAAAGAACAGAGAAAGAGAGAAGAATGAGAAGAGAGTATAATGTCATCGGTGCATTTTGTCGTGTCGCCTCTATCGAGTAAGCACGACGATTCGAGTATATTATCGCTCGAGTTTTCTTTCTACCGCTACTGCTACCGTATTCCAAGATTCTTTGGAGAATTTTACGCTCAAGACTGCGTGATTAATGCTCCAATTGTATCGAAGACTGACCTCTCCAAATGCTATCACCGAAAGTGCCAACTTAACAAGATTTTAATAAGCTGCGAGGAGAAGCCTACACGGCATCTATCATCTAATTTACAAGCGATCCCCTCGTAATGCCTCGCATTTCGACTAATGTAACTCGTCGTCGTCGTCGTCCTCTCGAGTTTACAGAAATCTGAAAAGCCCTTTTATAGCGCGTCATTGGCGTATACGAGGCCTTATCATCGTCCCCCCGTATACACACACGTATACCGTAAGCGTTTATATTGTAACTTACGGCTTGGCTCCTGTCCCTTTTGAGAAATCATTTCACACGTTCGTACGTCGCTTTATATACATTATGTACACTGCGAGCCCAGTGCACAGCACGAGTACGCGCGACGGGACGTCTCTATTTACTCGCGACGCGCCATTATTACACTGCAGTCGGCGCGAGATCGGATTCCTAAAGTCCCGCTGTAAAGGTGACGCTCGGCTGATTAATGAGCATTGATGGCACAAAGGTGACTTGAGTTACGCCTACGTACGCACGACGACTCCTTTGTGAAGAGGCGAGGGTGGCTCGATCCAACCAACTTTTCATCTTCACTTTTTTATAGCAGCATCTTCTATATCTATTCTATATATTATTCGTATCCCTCCCCCGCACATGTTTAGGCAGTAATGAATAAAAGACCATATTTCTGGTTGCATATATATAATATTTTTTTTATATATATACGAGGAATATCATATATTTGATCGATAAACTCTTTACAAATATGTACATACAATAAAATTTGCCATAAATCAAATAAATAGTATTGACCAATCGTAATTAATACCGAACATATTATAGAGAAAGGAAATTAATTTGCAATTATATCAAATATTACACTTATCAATATATATTTATGTAATATATATGAGTTTTTCCTCTCACTCTTTCTATTACTCACTGACTCGCGCATCATCTTTCTCTCTTGCGTCTCTCATTCATAATAAATACGTGAATATATGCAAGTATGTGTGTACATATAATATGCGCGCGTGTGAATTTTTTTAGCCGCCGGAAATGGCGCGCCTGAATCATCGCTTGGCGCTCGACGCGCGCACACATACGCGAGATATTACGCACATTCTCCGCAGCGAAATATAATTATCTGAAATGATGGATTTTGCAAACGCAGCGCTTACGGTATTGAAGTTTCAAAGATCGAATCGATGATTTTTCAACCGAATACATTCGTGTCGCTTAGAGAATCGAAACTATCTTTACAAAGCAATAGTTACAATTACTAGACAAAATAATACATTCGCACGTTAAATCTACTCAGGTTTTTGCTTACATCGCTACACATTAATATTCGTTTTTTCTTTTTAAATATCACATCAACGAATTTATATTAATTACGATTTCTGAACATCTAATCTCAATAGTCTTATTAAAAAAAGAAAATTAAACAACAATCATTAGGCGAACTAAAATAAAACTATGAACATTCTCGGCTGGAAAATGTTTTGGGTCGGTTGGAGCGAAATGCCCGATCAGTCTAGAATCAGCGATGCTGATTCTCTCGGTTAGCTTGGCGCTAAGAAAAGGGGGTTTGCGGGGGGGACGCGTCTTAAAACGCCCTGAGCCGGAGCTCCATCTCCGGGTCCTGTCTGTGATTGAGGTGGTTCTCGAGCCCGGCGTTGGCCGCCGCCATGTTGAGGTGCTGATGATGGGCGATGGCAGCCGCCTGATGGTGCGCCGCCGCGGCCGCGACCGCCGCGTGATGCTGGTGATGGTGGTGGTGATTGAGGTGCGTGGGCGGCTGGACGCCGACGCCGACCCCGACTCCGGCCCCCGCCCCGGCTCCGGACCTGAAGACCCGGTGCTTCTCCTCCATGTCGTGCATGCGCCGGTTGTAGCGCTCGAGCTGGTCGCGCAGTATCGCGTCCTCCTCGGTCGCCCTTTCCTCGTCGAACTCGAGGCAGCCGACGCCGTCGAGGCGCTCGAGGTCGATCCAGCCGCGCCACGTCACGCACACGCCGTTCATTATGAGATGCGACTTCAAGTGGACCTGCAAGCAAAAAAATATTCGACCGTTTAAGATTTATATTTCATACATTTTTTCACAAATTTTTCCTCCATCGAGCTGCTCCTCTCGATGATCCAGATACTAGCCTGCGTGAATCATCGGATAGATCGTAAAGTATTTTTACCAATAGCTCCCGAGATCGTAAAATTATTCCCAGAAAAATGCCTCGTCACAGATGCGTAATTTCGACATTTAAATATATACAACGCAATACAATTTTTGTAACGTAATGAGCAAAATATTTTGAGCCATAGTAACGAGTTGTTGTTTTTTTTTTCATTATTTTTCCTTTTTTTCCAACAAATAAATTGAAACGTCGCGAGTCGTTTCGCAAGTGTCCATTAGCGAGTGCAAATCGCAGCTTGTCGCATTATGCCGTGCGCTCGCGTAAGTACGTCGACGAGAGGCGTTAAAACCCAGACCTTAACTCGCGCCACATCGACTCTTGCATCGCTGACAATTTATTTAATTGCATCGGGAATGAATACGAAGGAGATTGACGCAGTCGCATTTGATTATGCTAAGGCTGTATATACACGAGTCGGAAGCCAAATCGCTCGTGTAAAGACTCGCATGCGCAAGGCAAAAAGCCTCGAGGCACGAAACGATTTGCGGGGATTATTGAACAAGGTACGCAGTCCGGACGTCCCGTCGCGGATTCAAAATAGTAACTTCCAGCCGAGAGAATGGTACGTTTGGTGCATGGGGCTCAATTATCGACTTGTATAATGTCGTCCCGACGCCGAGAGTGAGAAAAGAAGACCTAATTTGCACTTTCCGTCCTTGTGTATTTCTTTCTTTTATTTCGCATGCCGAAATATGCCCAAGTTTTGTAAACGAGAACAGATGTTGCTTTGTTCCAGGCAACATTAGAAACGATGATCGAAGAAAAAACTATCGAATGCAGTTGACTGTGCGGGCATAAGTCATGGCAGTGCGAGACCAAGTCGTAATCCAGAGCAGAGGTGTTTTGGCTCGATTTTACAGCGGAGCAGAAAACAAAAAGCGACGGGCACATGTGGCTGGCTTTCGCAGTCTCGTAAATCAAAGTTAAGGTCATCGCTAATACGCGCCTCGTCCGTAATGCACACCCTTAATTATATAATGTCCAAGCGGCCTCGGAATTCGGCCGAGTATTTTACTGTCGCTGACCGAGCGCGTCTCGACCCTCTCCTCTGCCGTAAAGTCTGCATCGTATATGCTGACACGCACGCACATAGTAATGCAGCGCACACATAGTCTCGCTCCCCTTTCGGACTGCGCGTGAAAAAAATCGAACGCGTCACGCCCATGGGTAGCAGCAGCAAAAAACAAGAGAACAAGCGGAAAACAAGAGAACATGCCAAGATTCTCGCTTGTCGTTTGACGCATGTCTATCGTCAAACGGTCTACCGATTCGGTCCTGTTTGTTTATGCCGTTGAAAAATTGCAATTTGGCGATAGGATCGAAGCACTTTAATGTTCGAAGGCATTATATGTTTTTTGCTGCCTCCGGAACTAGCCCTAACTTGTCTGTCTCGTTGTTGATTTTTTCTTCAAGTCCGAATGCAAATGAGTCGCAGCAGCAGCCGAGTCGAAAGGGTTGAGTGCGAAAGAAATATCGCGAGAATCGTTGAATGGGCGTATACACGTGTTTTTAATTCGTGAGAGCGAGCGAGAAAGGGTTAAGCTTGTCGCATATACGAATTGAATTAAAGATTATAAAATACGAGGCGGGTGTGATTTTCAATTAATATTGGCCATTGTGCGTGTCGCGCATAGCTGCCTACCGGCCACGTCCAACGCTGACTAATTGAGAGCAATAAACTAGGCTTTTTACCCGTGAATATGAGGCCACTGCGGCCTGTCGAGTCCGTTGCTTTTCCCAAACAGATAAAAAATACTCGGATCATTTGTATACAGAGCGCGCAAGTATATCTTCGAGTTGCAATTTCTCTTTCCGCCCATTCGAAGAAACTAATAAATACGCAGGCGCTGCCGCGACCTGATGAATGTGGCATGTTAGAGAGCCGAAAATTGTCCGCGCTTTGAATCCAATTAAAAAAGATCGACCAAGAGATGAGAGTACGTAGCAGTGGCGCGCGAGCTATCGGACACGAGGATCGAAGCCGATGTAAGGAGTCTCGCACGTGTCGCGCTCGTAGTTATGAATATAATCGACCGTTCGCAATTATAATTGTCGCGTTGCATCGCAGCCGATTACATTTTATATACGCCTGTATGATGCTGCTGCTGATTGCGAAGAATGAGTTTCCGGCATCCGTTTTCAGCACTGCGGACGCTCTTCGTTTCCTTTCTTAGCGGATTTCTAATGCAAAGCGAGCTTTTCTCTCGCACGACTCTCATTAATGATCTCGGTTAATTCAGCCCACGGACAAATATGTCAATAGGCTTGGTCAATCGATTTCAGGGAACGAGAATAAACTCGACCTATGCCTATACATAATGTACGAACACATTATACTCTTACGATTGTATCGGCGGCGATTGTTGAGGCAGGTTTATGCGATTTCCAGCAAGTGCCAGCGAAAAGTGTGAATTCTAGAAACGAAACAAGACGAGAGAAAAGTCGTTCGCTCGGCAGCTATCTCTCGCTTTGAATGAACATGTCGAGCAATTATATACGTAAAAAGCCCGAGTCTCGACGTACTGTGTGTGTGTTTGCTTCTCGTGAATGGGACTCGATTACGTTTGATTGGCCGGGCCAGCTCTTTTTTCGACTTTACAGCCGAAACGACGACCGACATATGGCCAGACATACAGGGATAATAGTTGCGTGTCTCCTTGTTCGACGTCCGATTTCGTGAGCAGCCACCAGCGCGCGTCTACCTGCAGAGCTGCCAGATTGTTTGGCCTCAGCAATTACTCGGAATATCCTTGGAAGGAAGCGAGCGATTGCATCTGCTCGGACAGCGAGTCGACGCGCCGAGTTATTTTTGGCTTTTTTGGCATTTTCGATCCGAGAGACGAGAAAAGGCCGAAAAGCGCGGCTCGAGCTTTTCAATAATGGCGTCGAGGAGCGATCGATTCGCGATGGTGTCCCGAGTGGGGCAGCGTCGCCACCACCTCCCCCGATCAGCAGCGGCGCTCTTTGCCGTCTTGGGGGCGCACTCGCCCCTTTTACGGCGCAAGCGCAATATTCCGCCGTCCGGGCTATAAGCGGCCGAGGAGAATCGATCGACTCTTTTCCCCTAGGAGTATAAACGAGTAGAAATTTCGTCGGAGTGAAAATTGTAAGAGAGGGCATGCGTTCGTTTGACAGCGTCGTAATTAGAAAACAGTACGAATTTGAAAGGCTCCAGCTGTCTACGCATTTTAATATATACCAAGCGTAGAATGAAATCTGAGACATTTTCCAGGAAAAACGAAGCATATCTTGGCCAGACTTAGGCCACGCGTTGCAGCAGCCGAACGGAAGCTGCGTGAAAGGAAAACTTGACATTTTTCATGTAGTCGTAGTCTAATTGAAATTCGAGTAATTAGAATTTCGAGAAACAGATGAGGCGAGATATTGGAGCGACTGGAAATATACTAGAAGTAGCATCATCGATGCGAAGAGGAATCGCGGCGATACGAGCGAGTTTTCACGCTGCTTGATTATTATTCAAATGAGCCAAATCGCTGGAACGATAGAATTAATGAAGCGTAGTGTGCCTATACCGAAGCTTGTTGCACTGAGTTTAGCGCACTCGAGTCGGTGAAATTCTTGCACCGTCTATAATCAGCCGATGCCCATATAATTGTTAATTGACGCGCGCACTGCGTTGCGGACATAAATGGGCATTAACAGCTAGAGAAGTAAACAAGTTGACTCACCTTTCCGTGCTCCTTGTCGAAATCACACTCGCGCGGGCCGGTGGTGAAGTTGCCCGTGGCCACCCCGAAGACCAGCTGGAGATTCGTGCCCGTCGCTGCGAAAGCGATTTCCGTGTGTCCCTCGCGACAACCGTTCTGGAAGCGCATCTGACGCTCCTCGATCGGCCTGTCGCGATAGCCGGTGTATTTGACCTGTGGCAAAAGATATCGATCAGCCTCGTGTGTTCTACCTATGTCGATCGATACGTCATCGATAGCGATCGTCGATGCATCAACTTACCTCGCTCTCGCGACTCAGTCGCCGAAACAGCTCGTCGTTTTCGAATTTGTTCTTCTGGTCGGGCACTACTCGTGGCATTTTGAAGACGAGCCTCGGTCGTGGCTGCTCGTACAGGCCCATGCCGTCGAACGGCAGGACCCCCATGTGCAGCCCACCACCCGCGTGATCCATCGTGTGCATCATCATGATGACGCTGGCCCTTTTTTTTCCTTACAAAACAATTATTCACTCAACTCACTGGGGGAAACAATTAGACAACTTCCGACTCGATCGTCGCACTAAACTTTTTTCACCATAAAAAACTTTCTCTCTACAGAACGTGTAAGCGGTGTACAGTAGCTGTAATAGCAGCAGCAGCGGCTCCGAACTCACTCGCTGTCGAATCGAGACTGAGAAACTATCCAGCCTGGGAGTCCGTTTCGAGAGATGTGTGGATGATCCCGCCTTCCAAAGCAAAGCAGGGGAGTAGGGAGGCTTGCGACTCGTGCCTAGGGATAGCCCAACTTTCTTGGTGGGAGCTGGTAAGTACAGCCCACTTTAATGGACGAGAGCGCTTTTCGTCTGTGTAAGTGTATATGTGTAAGCGTGTGTCCGTGTATGTGACACGTCTGAGCGAGACCCATGTGCCTACGCTATAAATGAGATTGTGTACGAACGGTGCATTAGGATTTTCAGATAAGAGAGCTCGGATGAGGGTTCGTGATGAAATTTATGTAAATGCCTCGAGTAACACTCAATATTCATTATTTTTTTTTACATTTTTGTTATCAATTTCTTACAGTTAAAAACGATCTTTACAATTAGAATATCCCATATAGGTATATTCTAACTATTAAGATATTTCTTAACTGTTAAGAAATTCTTCTCTCAGTGTTCGGATTTAAAATAGTGTTTATGATTATTTCTCTTTAATTCAACAAAATAGATTATCGTTAACTAATTCGACAATTCATTCATTCATTACTGAATAAACAGTAAGTTCAGTGATGATTTGTTCGATTCGAATACAAACCAATTTAAAAAATTATGAATTGGAAGACAATTTATTTAAATGTTTGCAAACTTTAACACACATTCTGTAAACATACAAGATCTTCCGATATTGTTTAATGATAAATTGTTGTTTTCACTCGACGCGTAAATCGTAATTAATGGAATTAATGAAAATTCTCGTGCCGAGGAAAGAAACATGGCCTGCGGCAAGCTTAGATTACATTGGCAAAGAAAAAAAGATTGTTTGTTACACGCAGCCAGCAGCGGCAGCAGCAGAACGGGTCGATAAATCTAGTCCAAAGCCGTGATTGGTCGGCTTTTCGCACATACCTCCCCGTGTCTTTACTATGCGTTCTGTGCGAAACGCAGCTCCGACGCGTAACAAAGCCAAGAGCAAATGAGAGCTGCCCCTCTCTCGGCGTTCTCTTTTATATATGCACAATATGGGACATGTTGTGTATACGCGTGCAACAAAAAACTTTGTTTGCGCATTGCCCTAGCCTCGCGATTGTTGTGCACGTATACATTTATCCGTTGGCTCGATGCACATAATTGCGAGCTCGAGACGCGTAAGTTGATACACACGCTGCACTCGATTATTTTGCCTACGACTGCCAACTCAAGAGCGTCTGCGTGTGTGGCTTTTACGAGTGCAGTTGAATATTCGGTCAACGTCTTGAATTACAGCTCTGCTGTACGCTAGCTTATAATTACCGCATCATTTTTACTTTACAACTTGCAAATGTCTTGTTAATCACATTGTCACTCGGCGTTCTTTTTTCCAGCCCAGAAGGTTGAATTCATTTCAATTCTTCCTTCCACATACTACACCTACTTTTTGGTTATCAAGTATCTATATCAAAGCCTTCTCTAGTTTTTCTTCTTTACTGGTACTCATATATTTTTATGCATGCTTTCTTTTTCAGGGTAACCTTTTACATAGGACACTATGATTTTGGACACACTTGTTTGTTAATTTATTTGAAGTATAACATTATTAACGAAAGAAACTGAAAGAGAAAAATACAATGTTTTTGATGGAGTAAAAGTGTATTTTCAATCCTTCAACTCCTGTCATTGAATCGACGACAATGGCAAAGATTACGATGACGAGATAAAAAGTCCCGAGACTTTCAAGATTTTTTGCGTCGTCGGGCGAATTTATACGCTACTCGCTATGGGAACTATCTCCTTTTTTTTCCCCCGCACATGCGCCGTGTGTAGTCTGATTTTCTTATGGTACATTGAACACCTTAGCTGTAGGTACTGTCCGCGGAAACGCTTTTTCAGCGATACGTCGTGTACTTACTTACGGTCTCTGCAGGCCTAGCCCGCTATAATACGCTCGATTTTGTATTCTTCTGGGACGGAAGTAGGACGTAACAACACGATGAGATTTCAGATTTTAAACGCCGCGGAAGAAAGCGCGCATAAACGCGGTGTTGGGAATAATGTCGCGCTGTAATAAACACCAGCATTTCCTTCGCGCCGATCGGCAAAGTACACGCTACGGAAATATTACGAAAATTTGATAATCGATTTGCGCACTTGCGAGCGCCGCGATAAAACTTTTGATCCGGACTTTGGTGAATCAATCGAGGGGAAATAATGTTTATTTAAATGCACGCATTGTTCCAATAAGCTTTTGTTTTCACATTAATCAGATAAAACGATTAAAGATTTATAAACTTCCGTGCATTCTTCATCGTTCAAAATCTCAACTCGAATTTTACTCATTTCATACAAAATCATTGAATTGGTTCTTTAATTTTTTCTAATTCTGCCAGAATAATAGAAATAAAATACTGAATGGCTGTAAATTGAAAATACGATGGCCGTTATTTGTCGTGCACCCGAAGCACAAAAACGACGAACGAAAATCAAGCCCTCGTGCGGATTCCAATCACTGTCAAAATATTGAGATAAGCTAAATGTCAATTGCACGCGAAATTCATGCGAAAATTATTTTCACTGACAAGTTCTTAAGTAAGTGGCAGAAGACGCAGCTGTGTCATAAAGGCGTCAGCTGTCGTCGCTGACGTTCCGCACTTTTGTAGTTTATTTTTTCCTTTTAATCCGCTATCGACTCGCGTCGAAAATGATTTTGAAGCTGCTAATCTTGTCGTTGTTGGCCGCGTCGACTTTCGGTAAGTTTGGCATCCCTTTGGCAGCCTAACAATCTGTAAATTGATTCGTTGGACGTCGACAGGTCAGGAGGACGATTCGGTGGAAGAGAGACTGCTTGGAGCTAGGCCAGCCGAGAACGGCGAATTTCCATACCAAGCCTCGTTGCGAGTTGGCACCGGTCACATTTGCGGCGCCGCGCTCATCGGCAAGAAACACGTCTTGACGGCCGCTCACTGCCTTTACGCTCTCCGAGACATCGACACCGAGTACGTGTCGGTGCTGGTTGGAACGAACGATTTGAGACTGAAGGATGGCACCGCTTACGCAGTCAGCAAAATGACCTATCATCCGGGTTACGTCGAGAAAAAGAGTCCCGATTGGATGTACGACGTTGGAGTCATCGAGGTCATTATTTCGATTATTTCAAAATGCAAAAGGCCTCCGACGCACTTGACGTTGATAATGCGAATAATCAATTTCGACTGTTCATTATTCAGCTGAAAGACGAAGTAAAGCTAACGGATCGAGTTGGTATAGTGAAGCTGCCGACGGAAGCTCCGAAGCCCGGATCAACGGCCATAGTCACTGGCTGGGGTGCGACCAAGGCTAAAAGCCCTACGTCGCCAATTTTGCAGAAATTAAATTTGCGCGTCATAAGCCTCGACAAATGCAGAAAGTCCATGCCTTCTTACGCAAGGGTGCACCAGAGTCACGTCTGCACTTACGTCGGTACAGGATTGGGATCTTGCTCGGTGAGTTTGTCGACGAAAATTAATCGAATCAGTTGATTCAGCGTGCCAACAACGATATTCGATTTTTGCCTTCAGGGTGACAGTGGCGGTCCATTGGTTTCCAACGGTGTAATAATTGGAATTGTTTCCGGAGGCATACCTTGCGCCCGTGGATATCCTGATGTTTTCACAAGTGTTTACGATTATCTACCGTACATCAAGTCGATCGTGACTAAGGCATAATGACGTACAATAAAAAACTTTTTATTTTTTATCAAAATCAACATCACATTGTAATGTAAATAATATTTTTTAACACTTTTGCAATTAAACGTACATCAAACAAAGACCTGTGATTTACATTCTTTCATCGAAAGATACGCTCTGTAACTATACCTTCATCTGGCAGACTATATAAGTGCTTATTTACACGTTGCCACAGAAACTTCAATTTCGAATCGACTGATATTGAACAAACGAACAAAGGTGGCAAGTGCAGAGTGCACATAGAGTTCCATTCAGTAGAAGCTAGTCAAGCCGTCGGCAAACATTGGATTTTTAGCTTAGGAAGAAGAAAATCATGTCGGCGTCGCGACAGAGTAAGAACGCTGGAAATTCCAGACAATGTAAATCCGCTGCTTATAGCTGGGATCGTCGATCATTCGAGCAGCATCGAACAAGGGTGAGAGCTACCTTGAATTATTACCATTAGGCTTTTTAATGACATTTTTCTTCATACTATAATTACCCAGTTTTATTTGTAAATGCGACATCTGATTATGACGTTGCCTTTTTTCTTAATAATTGAGTAAACTCTAAGTTGTTTTAAAAATTATATCAATTATTTGATAATCAGATTATTATATAATAATTTCATAATTGTGTTTTAAATTACATTTATCTACACATATTTAATTAATTGAGGTAAATGTCGTAACAATTAAATTCTACTAGTATCCTTTCCTTTGTTATAAATGTGATTACTTTAACTGTGACGCTGATAGTAGCGTTAACAGTGCCCTCTATCGGGATAACTTCATTTTTTCGTATAAACTGATCATGTACCGATATAGAAGAAAATGACAAATTTGTGTAGATAAAGTAAAGCACAAACGACCAAATTAAGGTTTTCATTTAAAAAAATATAAATAAGTATAATTTTCTATATGATCCATAGGTGAATGAAATTAGCCCAACGGTAAATATGAAGACACCAACCCATCGCCCTCACATTCGGTACAATGCAAAACGTTGGCAATTAGAACGGGAACGTCAAACTCAGATTGCTCGAGAAAATTTTATTCTTTACAAACGTTTGACTGAAATTATGAGCGGTAAGCTTCAGCGCAAGTATCCAATCACGCAGCCAAAGTCCAGCTGTATCAAAACTCGATAAATCCTAACAATTATATTTTTAATTATTTCAAACTGTAGCTTCAATCAGACTGATGTAACAAGACTGCAACTAATAATTAACTTTCACTTTTAGAAATATTTAAACGCATAAACTAGCATTAATCTGAAATGTTTGTAAAAGCTCAACAATAACAACATAAGTCATCATCGACCGTCCAAGTCATCATGATTTTCAAAAAGTTGAATATTTGAACATTAAAAATTTACTTAATAAAAAAATAAATAAATAACTATGATCAAGATATAATTCGTTTTTAAATTATACGAAGCGAAACAATTCAATTAAAAACTACTTTTATATTCAATAATTTACATAATAATAAAATGATCTTTATACGACAAAAAGTATTTGTCCCAAAAATTGATTTCCGGTTATTGTGTAATTCTATTTCTTATTTCTGTTTTTTGATTTTTTCGAAAAAATTTTCAAATTTCATCGAGGTCTAATATTTTTAAATATAATAAAATTATGTTTGTCTGGAAAAAAAAATTGATTAATTATCAACTTATTTAAAATAAAATTTCGTATAAACCTATCACTCTTACTTTATACGTGACTTTTGTAAAATCAATGCAGGAAATGTGAACACTCATACGCTTTGGTTTCTATTGTATGGATTGTCGATATTATCATTTTAACACAAAAAACTGTAAAGTTATGAATAACAGTTCTTTCTTTATCAAGTTTAAAATAACATTTTTACTCGAAGGATTTGTAAAATTGACCATTAACTATGTCGAGTATAAGTGAATATCAATTTTTTATGTACATCTTTTGCCAAACCAAGTGAAAAAAACAGATGGAACAGCGGAACAAATTTGAAGCTTTCACTCTGTAGTACTTGAACTACAGAAGGAATAGAGAAAGAAATAATTTTCTTTGCTCGTACATGGATGGGGCTCCAGAGTCGCCGGTAGCGGCCCTGACCGCGTCGCTGTCATATAGCGCTACAGTCGACAGATGCGTGTCCGCAGTTGCAGTTCAGTAACATTGCCACTTTTAGTGTGTGTGCTGCACTTAATATTAAACAGCAGTATGTGCAGCGCGAGATATGAGTAAAAAACCAACGATATGAACTGTAAATAAAATTTGTCCGTCCGTTTTCGTTTTTGTACGATATTCGTTAGGAAAAGTCGCGCTCCGTCCATTGCGAGCCTGTAAAGTGGCAGCAACAGACAATCGATCGAAACAAATACCGCTACGGGATGAGGGACGACGCGAACAACATCAACAACAAGGCCCAGCTGCATACGTGCGGCGAGCTCACGCCGGAGCAGAGCAAGTACGCCGCCGAACACTTGAACGAGATTCTACCCGGACGAGATCAAGTGATAGAGGATGTGCGACAGTGGCTATTGTCTTGCGACGATATTAACGCTAGAACTGGTGAGTGACATATTCGACGGGTAAAAAACATTTCACAGTTACAAAGCAAAAAACATTCATACTCGATGCGCTTTTTGCTTCTTTTAATTATAATTCTCAAACATTTCCTTATTTTTTATTATTAATGTCATTCGGCGATTATCGATGCTTTATGCATTCGTAGTAAAGCATCGTTGTTATTTATTGATTTTCATATCGGCTTAATCAATGTGACGTGATTGAACAGCAGAAGAAAAAATTCATTATAGCGAGATACAAAATTTTGCATTGCAGTGGAAATTCATAAAAACGTTTATTTTTTTTCCATAAGTCTATAATTTTTGAGTCACGATAATGCGGCGCAGTGTCATTATGATAATGTGTTTCAATCTTCACAATAAACACAACGTGCTGTAATATTTATAAATACGTACTTTATTTTATCAATGCCTTTTCATTTGCACCAAGCTGACCTTTGCTGCACGCGGTTAATTCGGCGCTTAAAACTAATGATTTGATTAATCGACTCCATATATATGTATAATCTTACTGATAGCCGGTACGTAAGCTATTGTCTAATTAATGCCTCATTGTTCAATTACATGTGCGCACCAAAGACGATTTCTTCATAGCTCGCTTTTTGAGAGGTTGCAAGTACAACGTCGACAAAACAAAGAAAAAGTTGAGAAATTATTACGTGCAGCGTTCACTGTCACCAGAATGGTTTGCCAATCGCGATCCGTTTTTACCAGAAATACAGGAATTGCTAAATCTGGGGTAAGACATATCTCGTTCCACTTGGTACTGGAATTAACTTGTAACGCCATTAATTTCTTTTTTTGTCACCTATAATTGCAAGCTAATTGATCTCGAAAAATATTTTTCCAGAGTTTTTTTGCCGTTGAGAAAAGTCGACGATCAAGGAAGAATGGTAATCGTCATCCGAGCCTGCATACATAATCCAGTCAAGCACAAACAAGCCGATGTCTTCAAGGTAGTTGCACCGCAAATTAAGATTAATAAAAACTCTACTTTTTTTGTGAAAAAAAGGATGAATCTGGAGTGTAAATTGAGTCAATATTTCATTATAGTTAATAATAGGATTTTTATTACGTTGACACGCAGTTGTCTGTTAAAATGTGTACTTGTAAAGTTTGATCATTTGTCCAAAGCATATAATCAATTGCACGAGAGTCGCGAAGGAAAGAATCGTAACGTGTTCGCGTCAATTTCAGACGAGTATGATGATACTGGACCTGGCGATGCGCGACCACGTCACCTCGTCGCTGTACGGCCTGATCGTGATTCACGACATGAAGGGCGTGCACTTCGGGCATGCCCTGCAAATGACGCCGGGCGTGATCAAGCGCCTGGTGCACACCTGGCAGGGCTATCCGAATCGCCTCAACTCGCTCGACTACGTGAACGCGCCGACTCACGTCAACGTCATTCTCAGCGTGTTCAAGCGCTTCATGAGCAAGAAGCTCGGCGAGCGCATGCACGTGCATCCGGGCGACGGCAAGAGTCTGCTGCAGAAATTGTCGCCCGATCTCTTGCCGAAGGAGCTGGGAGGCAACGACAGCGATTACGCCACTCTCAAAAGTAACGTCGTTCTGCGGACAGATTTAATTTGCATGAAAGTCGAGAGACGAGTAATTTGATTGTTGTAATTCGTACGTTTCAGGCTACTGGAAGCAGCAGGTCGAGGAAAATAAGCAGTGGTTCGTGGAAGATGAAAACTACAAGCTCAAAACTTGATGATACTCGCTTTGCATGTGATATTTTACACGTTTATTTTCATACCGTTCTTTAGGCTAATCGATTTGTACTTTTAAGGAGTTGTATTTGATAAAATTTTTTTATTGAAACGCACAAAGAATTATATTTCTGTTTTTTTTTATTAAAGTATTTTATTTACGTTGATAGTTGTAAAGTGAACAAATAAAAATCCAACAATTTTTTACACGATCATCTAGTGACGATTTATTAAAAATATAATCCAGTTGCAATTGCTTCGTCTATTCAAATTTCAAAAAAATCAACAAAATCCACCATAATATAGATTTTTTTAGGTTTGTTATTTATTACGAGTTAAATATTAAAACCTACCCTCTAAGTCATGGGCAAGTAGAATCGACAACTGACTTTTTTCGTTTAATTAATAATATTAATTCGTGAATTTCTTATAAATTCTCACACATTCACCTAAATCGCATTATAAACATATAAAACTTATTTACGTGATTTCCTTGTAACAAAAAATGACGTTATTTTTCCTATACACATTTTGCAAGTTTTCCCCCATTTGTTTTTTTGTTTATTACATATGTATATATTTTGTATAACTTATAAATCGTCCTAAAAATTCATTCATATTTATAAAATTATTAACTAAAATGATTAATTTTTCCTCGAGTGCACGAAAAACAAGCAATTCATGACCCATCATTTTTCCTCCTCTCATCGATTGCATTATCATTTAATCAAGATAATGGAAAATATTTAACAGTACGAAAAAATTAGATTTTTCAAATAACATGTAAAGTACAATTAAAAAATAGGTCTTGGCGTATATCGTAAATATATATGCATCATGCCTCGGAGCGTATCACGCGTCCCCGTATACACATACTTATAACAGAAAACAACAGAAAAAATGAAGTATAAGTGTGGCATCGTGGCCGTCATGATTTAACATATACATGTTACAAATATGCGATGTTGAGCAACTTGCATATTACATATGTGTGCCGATCATTGCACCGATCGACTCCGTGCCTTTTAATTATTGTACATACAAAAACACATTCACACGCGCACGCACACGCACATTGACTCGCACAAACACACGGACAGGCACACACGTCTTCGTAGCGGCACGGGCCCGTCAATATTTTCTTCCGTGTGTACAACTCTGCCTTGCCTACATACACAGGTAATTATTTATAATTTCTCCTACGTTCGTTCCTTTCCTCCTTCTCTCTCTCTATATCTCTCCGTCCCTCGTGCGAATCCTACTTTATCTATGGATCCTCTCGATTTATCTCTCTATCCTCGTTTGAACTTGAGTACCAGCAGACTTATCGTCAAGAAAATGACGATCCACGATATGGTCGAGATGTAACCTTTGTAAACGTCGGGCTCGGTTATGCTCCAGCCGCGAGTGAGCATCGAACGCAGAGCCGTAGTCGCCATGGTCAAAGGCAGACAATCGGAGATGTATCGTAGGAAAACGGGCATACCCTCCACAGGCCAGATGACACCTGAGCAAACAAATCCAATCGTCAGCCGAGTTAAAATCAAGAAATGGCGAATAATGATCGACACTTACCGCTGAGCAAAAGAGTCGGGTAAAAGCTGCCGAGGGCCAATTGGATGGCGTTTCGCTCGAGTTCGCAAATTGCCGAAATAACGAAGCCTGAAACAATGGATTATATCGTGAACGATCGAATTGGAAGTGCAAAAGGGAAAGCGGCGGCAACTTACCGAAACACATGCCGCAAAGTCCTTGGAGTATGGTCAGCACAATGACCCAGCCAAGTTCTCCTTTGCACTCGACTCCGAAGACCCAGATCATGAAGATGAGCACCAGGGCGGTCTGGCCGCACATGACGACGAATTGCGTGACCACGTGCGAGAAGAGGATCTCGCCGGGCGAAACACCGGCTACCCAGCTTCGATCCAGCAGGCCCTCCATTCGCTCGATAATCAAAGCCGAGGACGTCAGCGCCACCGCCAAGAAAAACACGATCCTGAAAAGTACAGAGAGACACGTTTAGAAGCGTCTTTTTATAGCTGGGAGCCTAGTTTTCTATATCGTGTACTCACGTGAGAATGACACCAGGAGCCACGAAATCCGTGAAGCTCGGCTCGTTCGATCCGTAAATCGGATCGTTGAACTGCATCGGCACGTCGGCGAGCTTGGGATTTTCACCGCACGAGGTCAACAGGTTCTTGGCAAAGTCCCTGTAGGAGAACTGCAGATTCCGGGCGAGCATCAAGCCAATTTGTTGATCTGCAAAAAAGGAAGGAAGAGTTTAGCCAAAGCCAAAGTTGAGCTCGAGCAGTGGCGGATCGTTGACTCACTGGACATGTCAAGCCAGACGTGAACCTCGCTGTACTCGAAGACATCGTCGTCGACGTTCTTGCCCAGGGCCATTCTCGCGAGTAATTCTTGACTGAAGTTGCCGTAGAAGTATAAAGCTCCCCAAGCTTTGCCTCTCCGCACAGCGTCGATGGCCGACTCGGTGTCCCGATAATACTCCTTTATTAACGTCGAATTATCCAGATGCTTTAGATACTGACAGCTTAGATTTTCGAACGAACATTCGCCGCTGGAAGTGTTCTGCGGCTGCGTCCAGTTGCAATCCTTCGTTTCCCAGATCATTTCGTCATTGACAACGGCTATTTTGAGGTCCGTCGGGTCTCGACCAATGGCCAAACAGAAGAGATTCACCTGCATCACAGGCAGCGCGAATATAAACAACATCACCCTGAAAAAAGCAATCTCGTTAGTATTTCAGTAAAAAATTATCGCTCGTTTTCCTCCATAGCTGATTCGCTCACCCGACGTTTCTCCACATGCGCAAAAAGTTCTTCTGCAGCAAAGCTTTGATCTTGCCCTTGGTCGTAATACTGTAACAATCGGCAAAGTCGCAGCTGTCGCACTCCACGGTCTGCTCTTTAGCTCCAGGCAAGGGTTTTCCATTGAGCTGCGAAGTTTACTTAAAACTTTAGTTTACAATCGATGTGCAATCGATAGGACAAAGTTGGATTACTTACGTCATAATGACTGCCTACCCCATTGGTCGTGTCGTGTATCAAAACCTCCTTGCTCTGATGGAAGTTAAGACCAACGACACCCGACTCCTCGGTCACGTAAACGGGCTCGTCTTTTTTGCCCCAATTCAACGAGGCCTTCGGTCCGGAAACAAGAAACATTTTTGTTTTCTTTGCGAGGTGAACGAGGGATGAAATTTAATGAGCGATTGTTATAACGTTAGGTTGAAATGAGATCGTCGTGGTAATGTAAAATGACGTGAGCATGAAGCTTGAAAGTAATCGACTCACCAGACTGATGTTGTTCGATATATTGAGCTCCGCCGCTGGCTGAGGGTAAGCTCCCTGTTTTCTCGATAGCTTCAGAAATACGTCTTCTAAGGTTGGGCAATTGTAGATTTGTAGTAAGGCCTGGGGCGACTCCTCCGCCAGTAATCGACCACTTCGCATCAAGCCGATCTAACATAAAAAATGTTCCCGTGACAATTTGCTTTTGAACTAGGTTCTGAAAATGCGACACTACTTACCGTATGGGCTTGTCGTGCCTCTTCGATGTAATGCGTCGTGATGATAACCGTTTTGTTGCCATCTTTGGTAATTTGAACCAAATGATTCCAGATGCTGAGCAAAATAAATAAAATAACATGGTTTAAAAATATATAGACAGCGCATATTTAATTGCTCTTCTTCGAGAGCTTTCAATTAACGCTCGCCAAGTGAATTTGTTCACCTTGCGCCCGATCAACATCATTGTCAACTACTTTGACATTCGAGTCAGTCGCTTTTTTTGCATCCTATCGCTGAGAATGTTTTCCTTCTTTCGCGAACGTTAATTCTTTTTGCCAGCCTCGACACCTTAACCTTGCATTTGCGTTATAAAAAAAAGTCGCGCGCTTTACGTGTGCATTCGTAATTTTCTACGTAAGAATATTTTCAGTGACGTACTTTTTTTAAATCGATCAAAAGCTTTTACCACAGTCAAAAAGACGAATGAATAAATAGATGCTGATCAGAGGCCATTTGGAAGTTCGAATGTCAGAAAGGCAAGATGAAAAAAAGATAGATGGCATTTACTTTTTTTTCGCGTCCATAAAAAATTATTCATTAGCGATGCGCACAGTGAATTTTGTGCACCGCGTTTGGCGATAATATAATTAAGGCTTTTTTTATGGCGGCTATTTTTAAGCCGATGAAACGTCTTCTCAAATATGAGGACAAAAAGTCACGTCGTGTACCGGTGAAATCTTATTTTGATAATATCGAAATGAAGCCGTTCGAAGGACGAACGAGCGTATAACACTTAATTTTTTATCCGATCGATTACGCAATTCCGCAAGATTTTTCCTCAATAAACTGCTGGGTGTAATTTGAAATTATAGAGGATCGGCAGTTGAATTACAATCATATCGGAGATAGCAAATTTATTCTTCTAAGTTTGCTGAATTCTGCACGGTACCGAACGATTTTTGTACAACCGCTAGCCTCGTAAAAAAAACGTCAAACATATTAGTCACTTTTACGTCTGAAGTGGAAGAGCGTAGAATATTTATAAGTATATGGTTTTAGCCGTTTAATGAATTAGATATCGAGACGATGACGTTGTTGCGCTTCGACGAATAATGCCGAGTCAGCGATGACGTAGGTGCGTTTGGTGGTCAAATCGATGATCAGTTTGTTGACATTCGCCTTTTCTATTCTAGTTACACTTGTGCGTACAACTGGAAGTGGATTCGATCGCTTACCTCTGTCGAAGAAGGGGATCCACACCGACCGTGGGCTCGTCCAAGATGAGCAGCTCGGGATCGTGCATGAGAGCAACGGCGAAGGAGACTCGTCGCTGCTGACCACCGCTGCGGAAAACAAAAACGAAAAATCGTCAGCAAATCGTTGCTCAAAAAATCTCAAAAACTCCAAGAGAACAAAAGAGCGCTGCCTACCTGAGGTTCTTCACCATTCTGTTCTGGGAGGGCAGGTCGAGGAACTGCAGCAGAAACTTGAGCCTGCCGACGATCTCATCGGTGGTCATGCCGAATATCCAGCCGAAGTACATCATGGTCTCGCGGATGGTGAACTCGCCGTAGAGGGCGATCTCCTGGGGCATGTAGCCGACTCGTTTGCCGGGCACGCCCGAGCCTTTGGTGCCTGGTTTGCCGCCCAGTACCCATATCTCGCCCGAGTTCAGCCGTCGTCTGCCCACGAGGCAGGACAGCAGCGTCGTTTTGCCGCAGCCACTGGCACCGAGCAGGCCGTATCTGCAACAGATCGATCCGAGTGAGCAACGAAAAATCCTCTAACGTTTTCTCTCCCAGCCTTGAGAATTTTTCAGAGAATGCATCGAGCTCGAGCCGTGGCAGCCCTTTCATTTTTTATTGTTCGCAACCGACTACCCGGTATCTTTTTATCGGTTTCATCGCTACTTGCTCGTAAAACTCATCCTCGCGCGGCTTATCGCGTGAAAGCAACTTTATGAAGCCTCATGAAAGTTTTTTCTCGCGCATTTTACCTCTCTTTAATAAGACAATTACATGCAACGAGTCTTTGAAAAATTCGAGACACTTGCAGTAATTGTTTGCTCGAAATAATGACCTTACACGTTTCTTTTAAACATTTCTACTATTATATTGCTGAATAAAACGAGATCGGCCTGTTGCGTTTTAATGCTGAGATATTTATAAAAACGAAATTGCATATATTACATTTAAAAAGACACAATTTTAGAATGTGCGTCGTCCGCGTGATGTATGCGTTCTTCGCAGGCCAGTAAAAAGTGGCAGACCCTGAATTAGTGAACATAACTTTGAATTTTATATTGAAGGTTAAAAACAGCAGGTTTAATTATTTTTGCTGGAATCGCCATTTCTTTGAAGGCTGCAGCGTTATGTCACGTTCTCGCATTAAAAATGTAGCTCCCTACTATACCCTTTGAAATCGACAAAAAGTCAGAAAAATAACGATACAAAAGAAATTGTAAGTCGAGTTTTAGTACTCGTTTGACTTTTTCGCGACTATAAAACGAACAATGATCGGATGGCTCTGTGCAACTGAACTGACAAATTCATGACAAATTTCATTCAAGATGTAGAGTCTGAGCAAAGGATGCGAACGATAAACTGGTTTTGGATAAGAGTTTTGCCATTTTTTTTCGTCAAATATAATTGACTATGGAATTCCAAAGCTTCTTTTTGACAGTATTTGGGATTCAGATTATTTATTAATTTATATACTTTGTCAAACGCAATATTTTTTCAAGTTATCTGGAAATAGTTCAATATAATTATAAATCGCGACGAGCGTTGATAATTTTTAATGCATCGGGATGGTATACGAACACGTGTCGACGTAAATCATTCAATGTATCTTATTTACTCAAGCGCACAGAATCCATAAGTTCCATCGATATCTTGAAATTAAATATTTTACTCGAGCAAACTTGTCCTTTACAAATTCTCATGTACTGAAAATTTTCAGTGCGCAAATATATACTATCGAGCATTTCCTTGGCCTATTTTGCCGATCAAGATTCATGTACGTGAGTAAATTAAAAAAAAAGTGAAAAAAAAATTGATGACTTACATGGAGCCCTTGGCCACGGTACAGTTGAGATCCTGCAAAACGTGATTGGGATTTTTGCTGCTGCCGTAAGTCTTGAACGCGTGCCTGACGCAGACGGCCTGCTGTCGGTTCCATGCTTGGTTGTTGAGGCCCGGAGTGGCTGCGGCTACTACGCTCGTCGGCACCTGAGCCTCCACGTCGGGGCTGGACTGCATCCTTCTCTGCGCTACCCCGTAGGTCTCAGGCTCGACTGTATCTGTTTCCGCGCCGTCGCTGCGGAATGAGAAAATAACAAAATTTCGTTTAGTTCGCGATGCCTCAAAGACCTTGACGAACGTCGAGATTATTTCGATGCTTCGAGGCAAATTTTATGCACGAGTTGTGAAAGCCTTGGGCTCGCAGCTTAGACGCTGCGACGGCTCTCCCGCATTATCAATTCGCGATACAAATGACGCAGCTGCTTTTATTTCCTCGAACGAAAAAAGTTTTCATAGTAACATCGGTCGAGAGTCGACGACATTTTTGACGATAAAAGCGTGGACGAGAGTCCTGAGGCGTTGACGTGGTCAAATTCTAAGCATGTCTCTGTAAAATGTCAACTTTGGCGTGCGTGCACAAGGTTGCAAAGCCTACGTGATAAAAAATAATCATGCGAGTCGATTAAATCATTTCAAAATATGTTTCGCGACACACGTCCGATCGATTCGGGCTCCGATTCATTGTGTCACTCGAATATTTTGCCGATTCTTGCGCATACTAACACGCGCCATCCCATCGTATAGTAGGTAGAAGCGGCTAAAACTTGGTATTGCACGCGACATGATATTGCGTAAACATCGATGGGCTTGATCATATGTGCAGACTGATTTTTTCGCGCGCCTTAAGCGCCGATACTTTCTTTTTGCGTCTAGCCGTACACAGTAGGATATCGTATCGCAAAAGATATCCCACCCTTTTTTAAAATATACACTATCATCGGATGAGACTATCGATGGGTTCGATTTACTTGTTTCTACGGGCGCGCCAAGCTTTTGATTTCTCCAGGCAAAGGCCTGCAATTAAAAATTCTTCAAATAGTTGGCCTTCGATTGCGCAATGCTGCATAAATTTACTCTGCAACACGTAGAGCTATCGATCGGACATTTTCTGATCATTGAACTTGAGGGGAGACGAGGCGGCGAATGAAATCCTCGTAACAAGACGATGGAGTAACGAAGAAGATACCGCGAACTTTCACATCGAGCCTAGTCTATCGGTATGGACTTGGAAGCCAATACTCATGTAGACATTAAAAAACGCAAATATGCCGTGATAAATAGAACACATTCTTATTACGATGGAGAAAAGACGCTTGAACGGATTAGGCATTGTAGAGAGGTCGAACGTGAAGGTAGCAAATCGAAATCATAAAATTTTCTCTCGGATTAATCAGTCCGTACTTGTGAGCCGGACCATTCAATTCGTAGCTCTTTTGATCTAATTGAAATTACGCGAATGTGAGCTAGCGCGCGCTATGTGCGTATACAGATAGGCTTTTTTATTTTCAAGCATAGTGCCTAGAAAGTGAAAGTTTTAATACGGAATCGGAAATCATTCTATCTCGCGGATGAATAGTCGCGCTAATTCCTTATGAAATCGCTCCGAGCTGCCCCGTACACGAGCGCGCGTACACTGCGTATGTTTATGCCGCGCGAACTGACGTCACATACGCCTCGCACATACAACGAATGTAGTTCACCCAAACACACATACACACACATACACACTGGACGCGTCAGCTTTTTTTTCATTTTTTTCCTTTACAATTTCGTAATCAAATTCATTTAAATATTATACCTGTAATAAGCTGCTTATTACGTTCCGCGTGTAAAATTTCATTTCATCGTCGCCCAAGGAGGAGAGAGAAAAAATCATCGCACTTACTTTCCAACATAATACGAAACGCGAACGCGTGATAGAGCGTGTATATCTGCGTATATGTGCCCGTGTGCGTATGGAGTTCAACAACTTGCAGTCCTCGTGGCACATTATGACTTTCGATAATTTCGCTTTCGCATTTTAATAATTACGTCGTGCGCACACATATGCAGAGGCAGCGGCGACGAAGAGCCAATGGGTAAAAGTTATATATAGGCGCGGATTTTTTGTTGTGCTGCGTGGCGCGCCGATCTCGTTGGCAACTGCCGGCCGGGCATCCAGCTGAGAAACGTCCAAAAAAGGATCCACGCGCGTGCAGTCATTCGGCAGGCAAAAATTATGCCCGCGCGCCAAGTGAGCAATATAATGGCCGCTGCGCGCGATTGTCAAAGTATTTCCTTTCACTCGTGCGAGCCGATTCTTCGCTCGCAGCTCGCACATATAGTTATAAAGTCGTGCACGGCTCGATCGGTTTAGCAACGCGGCTATGTAGTTGCTTGTAATAATTGCAGCTCGACAAGTGCGTCTATGCGTGTATTTACGCGCGCAGGATGTTTTTCCCAATCTTCGAGTTAATTCATAGTGTCGCGCGGACTCGTCGATGGCAGGTTTATCCGTGCGTTGAGCGACTGCGGTGAGCGCAACGCGTTTCAAGAAAAACCACCGCCTGCCTGCGAGCGAGAGATATCGCTCTCTCGTGAGAGTACTCGCGATAATCAGTGAGCAGTGGCAGAAAAAGAAAATTATTTATGCATACGTGTAAAATTACGATCGATCGCGCGTTATGACATTGGCTAGTTATGTATCGGAGGCACGGATTCCAAGTTCCGAAATTCAATGAGGGAGAGAGAGGAAGAAATGAACAGCAGCTACGGCCCTCATGGTTACGCAAAGCGAAGCATTATGCGAGCGCCGAATACTGGGCGATCTTGTGCACGACACCTCTTGAGTCGTCTACGAGAAAAGCTTAGATCGAAAAGTCGGATGTTCGTATCGAGCTTGCACTCGATATAGCGAACCAGCCAATAAAGTCGTTTTATATCAATTTGCGTTTTTTACACGGCTTGCAATGATGTAATGCAGATTATTTGTCAAGTGCATCTGCAAGAGCTCCTTCAAATTGTTTTTATTGCAGCGCGCTGAAATATTGCTCGCTTGCGGCAATAATTTTAATTTCCATCCTGCTTCTTGATTCAAAAAAAGTCACGTGAAAATGTGAACTTGAAATCGTTGTCCATCATTTTTAATTGAAGGATCGTCCTCGAGACCGTTTGCTCCATCTCAGTAGACATTATCGACGTACGTTAAAAAGCGAAATTCTGCGAGCAACTGAGCTCGCGAGTAAAAAGTGACTCGTTGCTCGAAGCACGCATACATGTGTGCATTAATTACAGCATGTATTTGTCGCACTACACGAACTCGGCTCTCGGTGAAATCGAGAGTAGCTAGCTGAGACGCTTATGCGAGCGTAATATGAATAATGTGCATGCGCGCAGGCCTGTCTTTGTGCGGTAATCGCGGCACATGCCTCCGCCTGCGCGGCGCTCGCGCTTACGTGAACTTTGATCCTGACAGCTGTCTCTTTGTTTTAGCCTCCAGCGCGAAAGCAGGAAAAGGACTCGAGCTCCGTGTGGGCGTTGAGCTCGCGTCCATTCGCATACATCTTTTTAGCTAATTTCTCCATGTACGTATTGTAGCTGCGCGAATGCTGAGATATAGCAGCGATTTGAAGGAGAGAGAGAGAGAGAGAGAGAGAGAGCAACATTAGATAATAATGTAAGCGCATAAAACGTTCGCGAAACAATTAATTTCTCGGAGGTTTTTGTCGCACTTACATAAGGATTATTAATCGATATGAATACTCGATGCGAAAGTACGTGTTTTATCACTTGAGCCGCGAGCCGAGTGTAAATGCGGCATCAGCTTAGTGCTCCTCACCGTACAATTGCTTTAATTCGTCTACACCATCTTTTATAGTTGACGAAAAAATCAACTCCGGTCCCGCCGACGTTCCGTGTGGCGCGCGCAACATTTTTATTGCGACCACAGAGAGGTGCAACGGTAGGAAAAAAGCCAAGCAAAAAATCCTACCGCTGAAATATCCTCGCGTTTGTCCGACTGAGAGTGTGTATGTGTCTATGTCAGTGTGTTTGTGAGCGAGAAAAAGAAGAAGAAGGTGATTATGCATATGTATGCTAATTTCAGTCGAGTCTCTCTCTGCAGTGAATGACTTAGGCGAGCAAAAAGCACGCGGTAAAATTCCATTCTCGGATCGAAAGAGACGAAACGATGCATACATTGCACACACACACGGCTGATATGGGAATAAAAAACGGCCAGATGTAGAGAGAGAAGCTGCGAGCGAGCTGCTGCTGGCCGGCGACTGCGCTATATATACGTTTCAAAACTTTAATTTCTGACGCACGTGCGCACACGCGATAAAAGCCATTTTTCAAGCTGTGCAAGCGATAGTTATTTTTGCCAGGACGAAAAAGTTTCAAGCCCGTAATATGGAATCTTGTTTAGAAATGTGTTACAAGCTGCAGTTATAAGTACTCGCTTATACACGAAGAGAGAGAGAAAACATTGCACGCAACCGGCAGGGTGGCCGCCGTGCATGGCTTACTTATTGTTATGAAATATAAATTGTCTATTGCGGAGAGTGAGAGAAGTGACTGCCTTTCGGAATCGTAATGGTGCCCAGACCATTTTATGAGAATGAATCCAGGATATCTGGGAAAAATGGTATATAGTGTCGTAACGTTACGAGGATACAGGTCTAAGGCACAATTACGCGCAATTGGGTAACGACTTCCGCATTAAAAGGCGTACGCGCGTATTAGCTGCCTCGCGCACTTTTTCTATATACCATACGCACACGGGAGGCTTTGATGCAATGCGGAGAAAGACACACGGCCAAAGTTACTGCGGCTGCTCCTTTTCCAGCGCGGCCTATCGGCTTTCTTAATCATGCATCCCGCGAGCTTATATAAATGTGGCATAGCGACGAAGCTCGCTGAAAATTTGTCGAAGCAGCACAGCAGCGACGATCGCTCGACAAAATATTGTCGTCGTTAAGTCACACTCTGCCAAAACATCGAAAGCTCCAATTGACAAAATGAAGGCAGGCAGGCACGGGCCGAATTTCGCCGAGCTCGGCAAGAAAATTGAAAATCCAAGCCACTTGCGTAACGACCTGTAGCTGCATTTGTGACGCGCGGTCTCAAAGGAGGAGCTCAAATTTTTGTTTACTCTGGCTCTGACCTACATCGCTCTCGCACGCGCTCGCTGTACTGACCAAATAACGTAACCGTCTTTGTTTTCCTTAGGCATCGATCTCGCTAATGCCATTGTCT